GAGTGAACGCTGGCTTCTGTCAGGCAAAGAAAAGGATTTGAGTTAATATAACTTAAAGTAAGGAGATATGACATACTGCCAAACTGGCTCACTTTGAACTAAAGCATTATGATGTCTTCTGCTCCCACGTTTTAAATCCCAGCACTTGAGTCCTGTTTTTTCCTCCGGTTCGTGGTTTTGAGTTGTTGGGGTGTCAGAAACCTTTGAGATGCAGACAGCTGACTAAATGAGATGAGGAGGAAGGAACAGGCCACGCTTTGGGGAGACCTACCTCACGTCCATGGACTGGACCCCATCTGACAGCTCGTCCAAACTGCTCTTCTCCAGGGGTCCCAGCATGATGACGGGGGCTTCAGCGGGAGTCGCGGCGTCCTCCTCCGGGGCGACAGCAGCTTCACCTCGCACCTCGATTGCTGCCAACATACACAGGAAGTCTTTACTCGAGGTTATAAAAGAGGTGATAAAGGTTTGATCCCGGCCTCGGATCAGTGACCAGTGCTCAGCATCACTTCCTGAAAAATGAATCCTGAGAAACGCTTTATAGTTGCAGTAAATTTTGCACCCTTTTTCAGATGTTCGACCTCTATCAGTGGTGACAAGCATCCGGATGAAACAGTAGAGACTCCAAACCTCCACCAAGGCTGAAAGTTTCCCAAATACATAGTTTACGCTTCTTAAAAGGAGAAAACTGTCTTAATTTACAGACTTTCAAAGGATCTCTTTATTTCCACATTTTCAAAAATTCAACACCAAACTTCAGACAGAAACATTCATCAGACGTTAATATATAGACTCTTCAAACAATGACACAAGAAACCGGATTAAAAGTCTGACTGGAATAAAAATGCTTCATGTAAACACACCAGTCGGAAGATTCTGATCCGATCACGTTACCATGGATGAAAATCTCTTTCCAATCGAGTTACACTAATCATTAATTAATGTCCACTTAAACACTTCTTTTGATTTTCGGGGTGAAACTATTCAAACTGCACGTCTGTTACGTCAAACGATGACGTCAGCGAGACGGTAGGTCCATTGGAAAACGAAATACGACAAAAAAGTGAGAAATGTGAGAAATCACAGCAAGGTGAGGATAAAAGCAGAAATCCAGAGATCCAAATCACAACTCCTACTTTTCCAGAAAACTTGACAATTCTGTGCATGTCAAAAATGATTTACTGTTGAGACGCTGATCATGATCACATTACCTTAGGCTACGTTCACACTGCAGGC